GAGAGAGAGAGAGAAATGTTAATATATTATAAATACGCATATACCGGCGAGAATGCCGGATGGTTAGGGGAAATTTATGGAGACCTGTTCGTTTCAACTTGTGAAAATTATCGTTTGTAGTGAGATTTTTCATGAGAAGGAACGAGACGGGTTCGACCGGCCACTTCCAGTGACATTTTTAGGTAGTCTAGGGAAATGAAATGATGAAATTGTTAATAAGAACCATGTATACATGCATATACGTTATATATATATATATATATTATTGTTATTATATTAACGTTTTTTGTGCATCCTTGGAGTACGATTATTTATTTTAATTTTACCCTTATCATTATTTCAGGCACAACTGCGAAGAGAACGCCAGAGAAATGTATTATATGTGGGTTAATAATATAGAATTTGCAGAAGACTTGAGAAATTGTTTTGTGATATATATTTATAGAATAGAAATGGAAGACTTTACAACAATATTGTTTTGCAATTTCGAGATAGATATTTGAAAACAATTTGTTTGAAAAAAAACGATGTTATATATTTTTAACATTGTTACCCTCAACACGGATATTTCCACTTTATGATTTCACTTCAACAATTAATAACAGTTTCAAAAAACTTGTTACGTTTGTACGATCAAAATTTAATTCCATGTATAGTTACAATCTATCGGTTGGATGTATGCACCACGTATGTATATTTCTCTTTTATTTAATCGATTTTATAACGAAATGATTTTCCTTCCTTTTCTTTCTTTCGTTATCTCGTGTCAGCAGAATTGAACAAAACATACCCTCTGTTTTCCAATCACGAAAAAAAGAAAAAGCTTATCCTTTGGACGCGATAATCTCACAGATGAGATCAGGTAGGTATTTCTACAGTTCAATATTGTATGGTTAAATCCATTAGACGTAATTTAATTTTTTATGAAAAAATTGAAGTAAAGAGGGATATAAAAAGGGAGTAAAATCAGGAAGAATATATTTTTTAATTCATTTCTTCTCTGTCCATCGACTGTCCATTTTATTTTATAAATATTGACCTGTGTTCAATATTTTGGCAATTTTTATATTTATAAATTTCAATTTATTTTATTTTTTATTTTTTATTTTTTTTTCACAGAGAAAAAACCCTAGGCCAAAAATTAATCGCGCTACATCCACGGCGGATTAATTCTACATTAATCAAAAAAAAAAAAAAAAAAGAAAATTCTTTCGAAAATCAAAAACACGAATATTCTAAAAGCCATTAAAAAAGGCTTTTGTTTTTCCATATTATTTTTCTCTTCAACACCAACAAATTCATTCAAAACCACACATGCTCCTCCTCCTCTTAATCTAAAATGCTCAGTCCACCCCCGAACCTTTAACCCCATTTACCCCTTATAAACATTCGTACGAAATTCCCCATTCCCGCACAATTGTCCCTAAATAAGGATTATCGATTTTCCGTCAGCCATCGGCAAACAATTCTCCGCAGAGTGAAAGGGTTAAACGCGTGTGTACCGTTTCACCAGCGATTCGCAAGCATCCCATTCATCCGGTGAATTGGGCGCAAATCTGACTGCGAAAGTAGCCTAATTTACTTTCTCCCTTTTTTCCCTTCTTCTTCTTCTTCTTCTTCTTCTTTATTTCTTTCTCTTTTTCTTTTTCGATCTCCCAGGAGAGTCGAGTAACGATTAAACCGGTAACTCGATGGACGATGACATTGGAAAGAGGGAGGCGGATGATTAAACACGAGGGATACGTTTGTTTCGCTTTCGCCTGGAGGAATCGGCAAATACGCGAAATTGAGGACCTTGCAACAGAGGGGCGAACTCAATTTTTGAATTTTTTAACAACCGTTACGTGTAAAATATATGTAAAAAAAGAAAAATATTCTGCATCGTTTGGTGCATGTTTCAGATTAAAAAAAAGAAAAAAATGAGCGATTTATTTTTATATTTTGAAATTTAAATCAGATCGATAAGTTGTTAAAAAATAATTTCTATTTTTCATCGAATAAAAAAATTGGAATAAAGATTTATCGATTCGATGAGTGCTATTTATTCGTATAAATATATCGTACTTTTTAAATCATTATTTTTTCAACGTTCCAAACAATAATTTTACAATATTTTTCTTTCAATTTTTTTTTGAAAGTGGAGAGCTGTTCACCATACTTTGTCAACCGATCGCTCGGTTCGATTTCCCCATCACAAAGAAAGAAAAAAAAAAAAAGAATAAAAAAATTTCGTCATGATTCGAGACAATGGACCGTGCTGTAAAATGGAATCTCCAAATTCCCGGAAAGAGGTGTCAAAAAAAGGAAAAAAAAAAAAAAACGTTTCATCCATCGAAATTCCAAACTTTCCAATTCCATTTCCGGGAAAAATGGGACGAGCACGACCGGCCAAGGGCTAATTATCCGGGCGTAACAAATATCGTTGACGAACAATGCAATTAAATTACACGAGTATCATTTAAATCACGCGTGTTTTCGAAAACGAAAATCCCTCGAATTCTGCGCTCTGTAACCGACAGCCATTCTCCAGCCACGCGACCAACCCACCTGCCCACCTCTCTGTTTCATCCTGTTTGAAGAATGAACCAAAAAAAAAAAAAAAGAAAGAAAGGAAAAGAGCGAAAGGAGAGGAGAAGAACAACTGGACGACAAAATCACAAGAGTCGACGAATCGCTGATTGGAACCGCTGTACCCCCATTAATCGGTGCAATTTCGCGATATCAACCCCCTCCCCTCCAACGTTCATTACGCGAGGTACACGCGAATCCCCTTACCAGATGGGGTGCGTTGTTTGCTTTACTTTGAACCGTCGAGTGGTGTATCCAAGTTTTTGGCTTATGGAATGCGGTGAAGCTGGGGGGCGAATATTTGCGAAGCGGTTAATTATCATTCGCATTGCTCTCCCTTTTATTCACGGTCAACGGATGTGTGTTCCGGGCAGACGTGGCGTGGCCGATCGATCGCCACGAATCGGCGGATCCCTATCGTTATTACACACCGGGCTAATTAGCCGGCCGATTTTTCCAACGAGAAATTTCCTTTCAGAGATGCGGATCCGCGGGATATCGTGGAAAATTCTGTTGTTCTAGAGGGGAGTTTAGCTCGATTAATTAATTGCTGGCCGGGTATTGAATCGCGATTAAATTCGATTTGGACTTTTGTAATTTTAGAGAGGGAGGAGCGATCTTGGAACGATCCTCGTGGCGATTCTCTTTTTCGAAGCTTTTCCAGTCTTCTTATTTTCGGATTGTCGATGGCTTTGGAAGTGGATATACGGATACTTCCTTCGTTTAAAATAATAAAAAAGAATAAAATGGAATGGATATAAGAGCGTTGTTAATTTCAAATTAAGGATTTTTTCGTATATAATCGAGATACAACCGAAATATTTCTAACGGTAAGTCTTTCTTCACTTGTTGTAAGAAGTTTAGCACGATTCGATGCAATATATCGACAATAATAATTTTATTATTACACACAGTACTTGAATCATGCTCGCGTAACAAGAGAGTTTCGACAGGGGTTCCAAACTTTTGATAGATAGCATGTTTGATGGCAACGTACATAGTGGAGTCAGTTATGAATATGCTAACCCGAAAGGCTGGATATGTCCAAGCTAAAATCAATTTTCATTGCTACTTCCTTTTTTTTCCTTCTCTCTCTCCCTAAAATTCTCTTCTACATGGTATATTCGTTTAAAAAATAATCGAGACAGAATATATTAAAAATAATCCAACCTTCTTCCATCATTCATATATATATACATAAATGATTCAAACGTTCGTTTCTCACTGGCGAAGAAAATACGATCGTTGAAAGAAGAGGAAAGAAAGAAAAAGAGGGAAAAAGGAAAAAGGAATATACAAAATGAAAGATTCGAAAATTCATAGGAAACAAATTTTTACTTCAATTAAACCGCCATTAACGACATAAAAACGAAAAATCGATTAGAAAAAAATTTCCAACCAAAATTTCATCCTAAAATTTAGAGTAAAAGCCAGTATAAAGTGGTCTTGCCACGACCCGT